GTTTGTGAGAGTCAAGCATCTCTCGAGTGGAACCCTGTGTGTCACATGCTGGGATGTGACACTTAATTTGAATTGAGGTCACTCTGGGACACAGCTCCCAGGACACTCTGTGTTATGGACTGAATCATATCCCTCCAAAATCCCTATGTTGAAGCCTCACCCCCAATGTGACTGCATTTGGAGGTGGGGCTCCAGAGGTCATTAAGGTTAAATGCGGTCTCATCCACAGGACTTACAAGAAGAGGCAGAGACAGCAGGGATGCATGTGCACAGAGAAAAGGCCAAGGAGAGAGCTCTCCCCAGAAACCCGCCCTGCCGGCACCTCAATCCTGGACTGCCAGCCCCCAGGACTGTGAGAAATAGGTGCCTGCTGGTTAAGCCGACAGTCTGTGGCTTATTATTATGGCGGCCCGAGCAAACTACCAGTGATACACCCTGCTTACCCAGTCAGACAGCTCTTCTTTTCCTGTGATGACACAGCAGGTGGGGCAGGGAGGGGGTACACAAGTCAAAACCCCCTCCACTCAGTTTCTAGGAACCCTGATTTCTCAGGCAGAAAACACACAGGATGGACGACAGTGCTGCCCCCATTAGACTCCCTGAAATTTACAGCCACCTAGAACACAGAACCCCCATATCCACACAGCAATCCCCCACACACCACACTGACAGATACAGAGCGTCAAAATGTGGACGTAGTGACCTATTCCTCAGAGATTCAACTGTACACTCTGGACATGTCTCTACTTGCCAAAGATGAGAAATAATAAAACTGAGTTTACATTTTTAGAAAACTGTATGAGTAAAAATAAGAAAAATGGCTTACACCCCTGCCATCAGCATAACTATTCAGAGCAGCCTCCTCAGTGAACACACACAAGCAGGGCCAGTGACTTCCTCAAGGACAGAAAATGGCTGAGGAAGACTCACAGCCTGCGGTCTCTGTACACCCCAAAGAGCAGTGACAAAGCGAACCCTGTACCCGAGAGGCGGGGCCTCAGCCCAGGGAGCAGGAACCTACTTGGCGGCCAAAGCTGGGACCGCTGGGTGTGTGAAGACGCCTGGCCCCTACAAATGTGCCTAAAACGAGGAGCCATGAAGCCTGCTATTCATGTCCCCAATCTCAGGATCACTGTCCTCTTCAAAACAAATGGAAATAAGGCAAAACCCCTGTTCTGTAGATGCACAGGGTCAAGCCTCACCCCTACATGGAAATGTCCCCACATAAACAGACAGCATCCCGTGCTGCAAGGACAAGGCGTCACATACAGTGATCAGAGAGACCAGCCCCCCTCACTTCTCCAAGCCTGCTTGGAGGGAAATGCTTCCAGGGAAATGTCCGGGTCAGCAGAGGACAGCCCTCCACCTTCCCAATGCTCTCACCCACTGGTCTGTCTTTTCAACAATGGCCTCAGTCACAGCCGGCACAGGCAGCAGCGAGGTCAGCTTCATAACACGGTTGCCTTCTCCCTGTCTTCATTTTTACAGTCACCTGCTATTTAAGTCAACCCATTGTGGCTCTCCAGTCAATGTAATTATATAAACTTACCTCTTTAAATAAAGACTTTCACATTTTTCAAGTGTACATTCAAAAAAAGAAAGGAATTACAGGGTAAGTAATAGTGCCGTGGTAAAAAAACAACTGGAATTTGAAAACCAGCAACCTTAGTGTTCTCCTGCCCAGTGATGGCGAACCTTTTGAGCTCGGTGTGTCAGCATTTTGAAAAACCCTGACTTAACTCTGGTGCCGTGTCACATATAGAAATTTTTTGATATTTGCAACCATAGTAAAACAAAGACTTATATTTTTTATATTTATTTTATATATTTAAATACCATTTAACAAAGAAAAGTCAACCAAAAAAATGAGTTCGTGTGTCACCTCTGACACGCGTGTCATAGGTTCGCCATCACTGTCCTAGCTCATGTCCCACATCCTGGGCGATCTATAAATATCTGCTCGGCTGAATCTAAGGCTGCGGAGCGTCCTAAAATACTACACGCTTTCACTGTACAAAGTGAGGCGGATCATTCCCAACACACCAACCTCACAGCCTCTGCTCATGTCCTCCTTCACCCCCGAGTCAGAGGACACTGGCTGCTCCCAAACGCCCCTCTTCCTTCCTGAGCAATGACAGCCCTGATGGGGGTGGGGCACGTCACCTCCCAGGCCACGCCACCGATGTACGCAGCCATCCGAGAGGGATACGGTGTGCACCTTCTAGAAAGGGGCCTGACGGCCGGAGAGGATGTCGCCTTTGTGGACCATGGACCCACTCTGCAGTCTGGTGACGCTCATGGGCCTCTTCTCGGGAAAAATGTTTTGTTTTTTGGGGGGTTTTTTTTGTTTGTTTTTTAAATATATTTTATTGATTTTTTACAGAGAGGAAGGGAGAGAGATAGAGAGTTAGAAACATCAATGAGAGAGAAACATCAATCAGCTGCCTCCTGCACATCTCCCACCGGGGATATGCCCGCAACCCAGGCACATGCCCTTGACCGGAATCGAACCCGGGACCCTTCAGTCCACAGGCCGACGCTCTATCCACTGAGCCAAACCGGTTTCGGCAAAATGTTTTAAATTACATAAAATAAGACACACACGATTACAAAGCAAACAAACTATATTGAAATAGAATTATGAAAATGCAAAAAGAAAAACCTAGCATAATAATATATAGGATTCTTTATTATCACATTAAAAAACGACCACGTTTTCACGCAGAAATCCACAGGCAGCGAAATCGCAAACATATGCCGAAGAAATTTCTTCTCTGATAATGCTCCTAGGGCAATGGAAACTAAAGAGAAAATAAACAAATGGGACTACATCAAAATAAAAAGCTTTTGCACAGCAAAGGAAACCATCAACAAAACAACAAGAAGACCCACTACATGGGAGAACATATTTGCCAATGATACCACCGATAAGGGTTTAATTTCCAACATTTACAGGGATCTCATGAAACTTAACAAAAGGAAGATAAACAATCCAATAAAAAAATGGGCAACGGACCTAGATAGACACTTTTCGAAAGAGGACATACAGAAGGCCGAAAGACATATGAAAACCTGCTCAAAGTCACTAATTATACGAGAGATGCAAATCAAAACGACAATGCGTTATCACCTCACACCTGTCAGAATGGCTATCATCAACAAATCAACAAACAACAAGTGTTGGAGAGGATGTGGAGAAAAAGGAACCCTTCTGCACTGCTGGTGGGAATGCAGACTGGTGCAGCCACTGTGGAGAACAGTATGGAGCTACCTCAGAAGACTAAAAATGGAACTCCCATTTGACCCAGTGATCCCACTACTAGGAATATATCCCAAGAAACCAGAAACGCCAATCAGAAAGGATATATGCACCCCTATGTTCATAGCAGCACAATTTACCATAGCTAAGATTTGGAAACAGCCTAAGTGCCCATCAGCAGATGAGTGGATTAGAAAACTGTGGTACATATACACAATGGAATACTATGCTGCGGTAAAAAAAAAGGAACTCTTGCCTTTTGCAACAGCATGGATGGAACTGGAGAGCATTATGCTAAGTGAAATAAGCCAGTCAGAGAAAGATAAATACCACATGATCTCACTCATTTGTGGATTATAGAGAACAACATAGACTGATGAAAAGGGACAGACCCAAAGACTGAGAAACAGCGATCAGGCTATCAATCCCCAGAAGGAAAGTAGGGGAGGGCGGGGGTAAGGGGAAGAGATCAACCGAAGGACTTGTATACATGTATATAAGCCAAACCAATGGACATGGACAACAGGGGGATGGGAGCATGAGTGTGTGTGTGGGGGGGGAGGTTGGGGGTTAATGGGGGGGATGAGGACACATTTGTAATACCTTAATAATAAAATAAAAAAAAAAAAACGACCACGTTTTCACGCAGAAATGACACTCTGAGATTCTTTCATGCCAGTTTTGCAGGTGCCTGTGACTTCTGTCAGTGACACAGTCACCCATTTTCTAACCACTTCCTATGTCTTGCTGCTACTTTCACAATTAAGAAAATGCTAAATTTCCTAGAGGCTGGGGGGAAAGGTTGTAAATATTTCCCCGTGTAAGTTCAGACCGTTGAATCCTACCTGCGGGAATAGAGGCAGTTTCTCCTCTGCCCCCGCTTCCTTCCTGCCCCTGGGATGAAAACAGTGGGCCAGGAGTCCTGGGCTCTGCCCACCCGGAGCCCACACCAGCTCCCGCCTGCCTCTAAACCAGTGGTTCTCAACCTTGGCTGCACATTAGAATCACCTGGGAATCTCTTTAAAATCCTGATTTCTGGGCCTCATCCTCTGGAAATTCTGTTGCTTTGTTACTAATGTTGTGGCCCCACCCCATAACAAAGAAACAGAATTTCCGGAGGATGAGGCCTAGAAATCAGGATTTTAAAAAGAGTCCCAGGTGATTCTAATGTGCAGCCGAGGTTGAGAACCACTGCTCTAAACAGGCCTGCCTAGCTCATGAAGACATAGCAGGCTCATCTTGATCACATAAAGCCACTCAGACGTCCTCTTAATTGCTACTCCTCTAACACTTTTTTCTGGGTGGTGAGGTTGGAAACAGTCTGAACCTGATCACCAGCAACTTTCATTCATCTTTGAGAGACACACGCTTCCTCGCTTAGAAAAAAGACTCCTCCAGAGCTACAAAGGACACGCAACTAAACAACCCCGCTGTAGCTGACAGCCTTCCAGGAGGTGAACCCTAAAGCCCTGAACGAGAGAAGACTGCCCTCTAACCTAGCGCTGCCCCACTCCAGGAGCATGTCCTGGAAAGTGTGCACACGCCCACGCATCACATGCAAGCACGGCTCAGCGAGCCTGCAACCACGCACCACACTCCACGTCCGCGCCAGGGATGCACACACCTGACCTGACCCCACACTTCACAACAGTCGTGTAGGAGCAAGCACAGAGGCGCCGCCGCAACGCACAGGCCCAGGAGGCATCCCAGGACCAGCGGAGGCGACTCAGAAAGTACTTACTAATTGTCATCGACTCTGGCACCGAGGCAGGAGGTAACAAGCTGCTCAGAGGACTTCCTTGGCCTGGAGGACTGGCTTCCACGCTGGGAAAAGGCAGGCAGAAAGAGGTTACACTCAGCGACTTCAAATGCACACCCTCACCATTCAAACACTAACTGGTGCTAAGTTTATTCAGCTACATCTACTACAAGGAACAGAAGGCAGCCTTCGGAATTACAGTCAATCCTCATTATTTGCAATTCCTGACCTACAAGTGTCCCCGCCAATAATGTATCTGTAACCCCAAAATCCACCTCACGGTGCTTCCGTGCTCACTCCTGCACGCGGCAGGGCCCCCAGGTGTGTGTGCTCCCCGCTGACACCAACAGGGTGAGCTCTGCCTTCATCTTTCAACTCTCATACTGCAAGTGTGTCCTTTGGCGGGTGATTTAGTGCCATATTTTTCACATTTCTTGGTGATTGTGCTATTTAAGCGTGGTGTTAAAGGGCCATCTGGTGTTCCCAAGCACCAGAAGGCTTTGATATCCATTGCGGAGAAAATACGTGTCAGGTAACCTTTTGTTCAAGCAGGAGTTACAGTGCTAATGGCCATGAGTTCAATGTCAAAAAGTCAACAATATATGTTAAATCAGGTGTCTTAGAACAGGAACAGACATAAAACAAAGGTATGTACTGATGGCTGACGAAAGGGCTGTGAGAGGTTCACAGGAGCCCAGCCCTCCATTTCCCCTGAGCAGTGGTTCCGCCTTCACAGCAACTGCACAGAACACAGTTACCAGAGATAATGAGAACCGGCTGTATATTTACAAAGCATTTGCAACATGGAAAAACAGCACATCTTTTATGAAGACAGCAGGGCCACAGTGTGGTTAAAGCACACAAGCACATACACATGCACACGCACACACACACACATACACACCCCACTAAGAGGAAAAGGACCAAAATAGCAACACGGAAACAGAGTTGGGAGTTGAAAGTGATTTTTTCATTTAATGCTGCATTTTCCAGTTTTTCTAAGACAAACAGCAAAAAGGACTCGGAGTCCTGGATATGTCGGGCACCAACCCTTCCTGACACTACTGATGGGTACAGCCTCCTACAGGCAGTGTGGTTTCAGAGAGCACAGCTTGGCGCCCCAGGGAGAGGCCATAGCCCCAAGTGAGGTATGGGGCAATCCGGCTCCCAGCCTGGAGCTGAGCTTGCAAATGAAACACCAAATTAAAGCCATGACGAGAAAGAAGGAAATACAGTAACAGCAACAAGGTTCACACAGAACAGAGACTTCACTGTGCCACCACACAGCCAAGGACTTTGGGCAACTTAATGTATTGAGATGGTTTAATTTGAAAAAAGAAGACTGATACGGCACTTACTACTAAAGCCAGACTAAGCACTTCACAAACATATGCTATCTAAGCGGCTTAAATATCATATAATATTAATTATTCAACATGATCAAATATTAAAATTAGCAAATAATGACAGAGAAGGTACCCAGATTTGGCCCCAAAAGTGCACAAAGTAAAGGTGGTATGCAAATCCTATTTCTTACAAAGTCGCTCACGCCCTTTGACCCCTGACAACTCCACATTTTGTGATGTTAAGTTAAAACTGAACACAAATACAGCCTTGCCCTTCAATCCTAGCAGGTGCCCCCCTATTTTTAGAAAAGAATAAAATGCTGCATAAAATCCAACCCCAAAGGCAACCTGGTTTCTGACCACCCACTCACTTGTACCGAGGTCCGGGCTCCGGGAGAGCGTGATCCTCGGGTCCTGTCCCGTTCTCCAGGCTTCCGAGGGGGGCATCTGGGAACAGAGAGCAATCACAGAGAGCAGGTCAGGTTTCTGTTGTCATCTCATTTTCTCCATGAGGCGAGGACACAGTGCAGACAGCACAATGGCTCATATGCTAAACAAGTTGACTTGGAAATTTTTCCCTTTTTGTCTGCTACCGGTTTCATTTTTTTTGTCCATCTCAGATTTTGCATCAGTCACTGATAGAAGGCCCCAACCTTTTTTACCTTAGCCAGCTGGAATTCCCCATGAAGTCCATATTCAGGGCCAACCTCAGAATCAGCAAATAACAAAGCTTTCTGTTACACAAAACTGCTCCTGCCTGTAGTGGCTCAAAATGGACACGAGAGGGCAGCACAGTCTAATCGCTGACAGTGTCTGCTCTGGTCAAAAGGAAGTGACTGTTGATTTCTAAGAAGCCACTTGCCCTGCATTCAGCGGCATGTGGGAAAGGCATTTGGAAGAAGTGAGGCCACAAATAATCTCCAGAAACAACAGACAAGAGGCACTGAAGATTTTCATAAATGTTATCAGCTGCTGTTCAAGTCTCTTTCCAGAAAGAAGTGCAAATCATATACCCCTTGGGCTAGATGGTGACATTAAAGCCAGCTTCACCCTGAACATTTGCTCACTGGAGAAACTTCTGGCTTGTCAATGCCCAGCACAAGCCAGGCCTGGACCGGAACAGGAACACAGTCGGAGGGGAACACCTCTGGTTTCCCTAAGCCGTCCGTGACAGCCTCCTCCGTGTCGTGTCATTCCTTCCGTTTATGCTAGTGTCATCCTGCTCAAGACTCCCCAGCTCTTAAGGGGTTCAACTAAGGGACCTCTAAAAGGAAAAAAATGGTTTTTCACCTTTTTCACCCTGCTGACACCATCAAGCTACTCCACGTACTCCTACCTCTTTCAAGAAGTTTGAAGGGAAAAGACAGTGTCTACTTTGCTGCCTCCCCTTTCTCATACCAGGGTATTGTGGTTAGTTTAAGACTGAGGGCTGCCAGGGCTCAAGCCCTGCTCCCAACTTTAACTCAGCAAGTGACCTATGCTCTTTGTGCCTCAGTTTCCTCATCTATGAAATGAGATGACTCTACTGCCTACCATACAACACTTAACACCTACCACATAATAAATTGTAATATGTGTAAAACTCAGGGAGAACAAACACTCAGTGAGCCAGGGGCTCTCATCTTCCCAGGCAACTGGATTTGCCCTCAAAGGACCCAAAGAGCACTTCCCTCGGTCCCCCTCCTACCTTCCTCCTTGAAGCACTCCTTTCTCGGCCTTCATAGCAATGATCTTTGGTCCCCCTCCCCTACCATCTTTTTCTCTGATTCCTGAGCAAAGGTGTCCCTGAATTTCAGCTCTGTGGCCTCTGTCCCCGATAAATCCAGCAAGGTCTTAGCTGCAGACTCCACGCTATGAAGATGACCATGCTCAACCCTCGCCTCTGGTTAGGACCTGAATCTTGAGTCCCAGCCCCACATTTCTCACTGCCTACCAGAAATCTCCACTGGGATGTTCTTCAGGGCCACCAACTGATCATGACCTTCAAATCCACTCTTCTTCTGTCACCACTTCCCACTGGCTGTACCCTCAGAACCTGGCACTCAACTGCCCTCCCATCACAGAGCTAGTGGTGCCCAAACCTGCCCCTCCCCCTAATTACCTCCCACTCCTTGCTTCCCAGCCGTTTTCACCCTCGTTCAAAGGCTCCAGACCTTCCAGGGGTCACCTGCAGCAGGTCACCGCACCCTCTCTAACCTGACTCACACGCCGTCAGGTTCTGCTCCCTGAAGCAAGGACAGGGGCTCCAACACACCAGTACACATGGAAACTCGTAGCTGGAGTGAAGGCCACCATCACCCACCAGCATCCCGGATACAACACCGACTCGGCCCCAGCGGATTTCCCTTCAACGAGCTGATGGCTGTAGTGGCTGAGACCCCAGAGCCACAGAGCAGTCGGAGACGCAGACTGGCTCACTCATCTGCCACGTCCCTTCTGAGGCAGGTACTGCCGCTACTACTATCTTAATTTTATTTTTTAATGTTTTTTATTTATTTTAGAGAGAGGGATAGAGAAGCATAATGAGAAAGAAACATCGATTGGCTGCCTCCTGCACACCCCCTACTGGGGATCAAGCCCTGGCCTGGCAGCTCCCTGACCTGAGCCCCTCCCTCGCCCCAGAAATGCAGCCCAAAGCTCAGCCCCTGATCCAAAGAACCCCCCCTTCCAAGATCCAGAAGGATAATGACTCTATGTTCAGGGTCCCCTTCTCCGCCGCTTTCTCCCTCCCAAGACTTAGCTACCAACACATCCATCTTCCCCACCATGTCCCTCTCCCTGTTTATCCTCCTCTCTCCCTCCCTTCCTCTAATACCCCAAAGGCAATGACAGCAGAGGCACTAACATTTTCAAAGATGATGGGACGGTCTCCTAAGGGAGGAGCCCCTTGTGTGCAAACTCACCACCAACAACACGAAATGGCTCCCAGGCCTGACAGAGAATACGTTAAGATCACTCAATTAGGGGGTGTCGATCAGAAGGGGCACTAGTCAGAAAAGGAGGGAAAGAAAAGGAGTTTGGGAAATGAATCACGGCCATGCAGGGTGCTGCCTAGGGAAGGGTCCCCCTGCAGGCAGGCCAGTCCCAGCGCCACCTGGGCCACCCGCCTGCCATGGAAACGGGGCATCATGCAGGAGGGACTTGATGCACTCTGCAATCCACTCGGGTGACGGTTCCCCCAGCTCCGGCTCCAGTGTCTCCATGCCGCCTGGATGAATCTGCCTCCCATGCCATGCTCCTGCTGGCACTTGTCCCTCTGGCTGTCACATCGCCCAAGGCCACTGAGAGCTCTGTTACTGTTCTAAGGGAAACAGCTGGCAGACTGGCTCCTGTGCAGCCTCTCTGGTGAGGGCAATCCGATGCTGGAGCTCGGGCCCCATCAACAGTGACAAGACAGCCTTGGGTCCGCCAGGACAAAGGCCAGAGGTGGGACTGTGGGCAACCTGCCAGGGGATGTCTGCTCTTGAGGGTCCACGAGAGTCCTGGACCTGGCCAGGGGCTACTTCCCCTAGAGCAGTGATGGCGAACCTTTTGAGCTCGGCGTGTCAGCATTTTGAAAAACCCTAACTTAACTCTGGTGCCATGTCACATATAGAAATTTTTTATATTTGCCACCATAGTAAAACAAAGATTTATATTTTTGATATTTATTTTATATATTTAAATGCCATTTAACAAAGAAAAATCAACCAAAAAAATGAGTTCGTGTGTCACCTCTGACACGCGTGTCTTAGGTTCGCCATCACTGCCCTAGAGACACTGGTCTACAGAAAGCCCAGAGGGATGGAGAATGCTGAGTGCGATAAGACCAAATCCCAGTTTGGTGGCAAACAGCATTTCGGAGCAGCCAGCCATGTGCCCAGCATCTGATGGTTAGAGGAGCCCAGTTAAAAAACGAAACAGCCACTGGAAACAAAACAGACTGCCTAGAGTGCATGCACCTCTCAGCACAGCAATACCTCACAGCCCTACCGAAAGGCGCCTCCAGGGGGAGCAGGGCAAGGTGAATGGGGACCTGGGTGGTGAGCTGCAAGCCACGAACAAACCCTAGAAGCTCCAGTGCTCCCTGCACAGTGGCAAGGACAACAGTCTGTCATCCAGCTCAGAAAGCCAGCAGCTTCCTGAGCAGTTGGCAGCCCCGTCAGTTTCTTAAACCTGGCCCTGGGAAGAGGTCAGGGTGGGGTTGGGGAACCACGGCCTCGGGGACCTGGTGGTGCTGTGGGGAAGTGCCAGGCACTGAGTCGGCTGCATGCACTCCCACTCCTCTGGGCCAGCTGGGCTCCTGCACGTATGTCCCCCCTCTCCCCGTGACCTGCCCTCACTACAGAAGACAATAACAAACCACACATAAGAGTGCTCAGCAGCAGGGACTGGGCCAGAACTGCTACCCACTCCACAGGCAGGTCTGAGCAGGCTACTCCCTGACCCTAAGCACTCTGCTGCCAAGGGTGCCAAGGCCTCCACAGCTGTGGGTTCTGTGACCTCCCTTCTCCTAAGAGGCTCAAATAATGGTAATCCTTTGTAGTCAAGTTGTACATGACCAAGTTCAGCAAATCACTGGCAAGAAGAAAAGCAGACTGGGGACTCCCTGGTGACCTGCCAGCCCATTTTGCCCAACCTCATTCAGGCGAGGGCATCTCAAAATACCCAGGTTCAGCAGGAAGTGAAGCCAAACCCACTGTCCCTCCGAACCTCAGCAGCCCTCCTGTTCTGAGCCTGGCCTCCTTGCCCCCACTCCCACCAGCAGAAGTGGCCCAGACACCCCTGTGGTTCTCGGAGCCGACACTCTACACTCGTAGTGGAGGGAAAGAGCAGGCAGGAAGCACCCACCTGCAGGGCTGAAGGAGCCCACTCCACTGACCGGAAAGAGGACATCGGTGTCGCCGTGCAGCACCTGCAGAGGAGCCCAGCTCTGCATCTGGGAGAGGCAGGTGTTCCCGTCCAGTGGCCTGTGATGAAAGAATACAGCTATATGAAAGGTCGAAGGGCCCCTGAGGGCTCAGGTCACCACAAGCATCCGCTGGGCCTCCCACAAGCTCCTTCTTGGGAACTAACCATGACAGGGCTGGGCATAGCAGGAGATGCAGACTGGGAGTCGGGAGCACGAAGTCTGGAGCCAGACCCCTTGCATTTGTTCTTTCAGCCACTTTTTACTGAGCACCTACTATATGCCAGGCAGTATGCAGCACATATATTCTGTGCTGGCCAAAGGACCAGCACACAGTGTTTATCCTGCCCTCATGGAGCTTACAGTCTATTGGGGGGCACAGACATGAATCAAGTATTCCCCCTAGAAGGTGTAGAACAACAGCTCATCCTCATGGAGCTGGTCAGAAGGTCATGGAAGGCTCCCTGGAAGAAGGGAGGTTTGAGGTGAGAGCTGAAGGAAGCACAAGAGTTACCTGAGTGAAGAGGAGGGACAAGAGGGATGGAGGGGGAGGGAATAGCATGTGCAAAGAGCTGAAGGAGGAAGCATGGTGTGTTCCAGGCTCTGAAATGATGGCAGCCACGTGACCTGGGCTGGCACTTTGCCTCGTTGGTTCTCAAACCCTCTCAAGTAAAGAGCAGAATCAGACCAGACCATGTCTGGGTCCCTTCCAAGAAAGGGGGTCACTCAAACATAAACCAGCTCACATTGTCTGTTATATTGTCACCACATCCACTGAGTACAGAACTAACCTGTAGGATCTTTGTAGTACCAGGCTGGCTCAATTCAACTTATTTGAGAAAGTACTGCCCACAGCACATTTACAGACTATAAACTCACTCTGTAACTCAGCTGTGAGGACCAGAGCAGATCATAATCACACCTACTTAACAGAGGGAGGAAGGGAGGAGTGTGGAGGGAGAGGGAAGGACAAAGAAAAGGGAGGGGAGGTGGGAGGAGGAAAGGAGGGAAGAAGGGAGAGAGGGAGAAAAACTCAAAAGATTCTGACTTGTACATGGTCATAAGCCTTAAGGACAGAACCAAGGCTTGTGGGGGCTCAAGCACAGGTCTTCCAAACCCACGTACAATGGGTCTCCTGGCTCCTGCCCACCACGCATGATGCATAGCGGTTTTCTTTCATTCCTTAGAGCAGGGATCAACAACACTTTCCTAGAAAGGACCAGATAGCAAAAGTTTAGGCCTTGTGGCCATACTTATTCTTCTTTGGGTTTTTGTTTGTTTAGCTTTGTTTGTTTGTTTAACAATCCCTTAAACATGTAACAACCAACCATTCTCAGCTGTGTAGAGGACCTGGCCAGCAGGTATAGCTAGCCACCCCTTCTTTTAGAGATCATCATGTAGAAATTCTGCTTTCAGCCCGCTCTAGCTTGTGGTCATACATTTGGCACCAAAGAAAAGTCTACAGAATTTTGCAAAATGTATCATTTAATCCTGCAGGTACACACACAATGAGGCTCTCAGATGGTGCTCTAGGGCACAAGAGAAGAAGGCTCCTTCTTCCATGAACGGGGCTGTGCCCCTAGAACCTGTACAGAACTGCCCTCCTGGAGCTCCAGTCCAGCAGCTGGTGACTGAGGGGCTCCCAGACACCCAGAGGCAGTCAGGGCACCCCTCAGAAGGCAGCAAAACCACCCGTCCTTTCCCCACCATTGCACTTGCTGCTGTTTCTGAGGGGAAATCTTGCCACTTCCCAGCAACACATGCAGGGTACAAGGGAAGCCAGACTCCAGCAGCTGAGGTTTGGGACCCAAGCAAAAGGGGCCAAGGGTCACACCTCAAAACTGAGTTACACCAAAGTGGTTCCTGAGGCAGAGACCAATTCAGAATATGGTGCCACCGCTGGCCCAGCAACATAAGAGCAGGTGTTGCTTTTTGTTAGACAAGTAAAACACATTGTAAAACCAAGAAAATGTTAAAAAGAGGAGGGGGAAATGACACCCAACACCACATTACCCAAACCACAGCTGATTTAGACACTATCTCCTTTTAGTGTGTCTTTTCTTTCTTGAACATAGCTTTCTTTACGAGGCCATACTGAAACTAAATGTAGGATTTTACATTCGCCTTTTTTCATTCAGCATAAACTCACAAGTTCATTTCAAACTACTTGGATACTCTCACACTTCGCATTTGAGAGGTTTGAGGTCCTAAACATTAAGATGTCGAGGTTCACGCGATGTTAACCGCTCCTCTGTGGTCACACGTGTCGGACGGCTCTGAGGTTCTGCTTCTCTAAGTACGGACTTTGCTATCTGAGGCAGCAGCCTGCTCCCGGAGACTGCCCTTGGGTAGATCCCTGGCAGTGGGGTTGCTAAGTCAAGTGAGGTCGACATTTCTAAGGCTGCTGACACTCTGTTTTCTAGAGGGCTGCCAACACTAACCAGCTATGGAGGAGGGTGCCTTACATCACTCATTCCGCAGTATGCGCCTACGGTGTGCCTGGAGCATACCAAGCCTGAGGACACACCAAGGGCATGCCACAGCCAGGACACTAACCAGGGCCCGCCGTTTCCCAGTTCTCACTTTAACTCTCTGCAAATATGACAGGCGAGCATAGTATCTGCTTTCACTTTGCCTTTGCTTAATTGCTAGTGAGGTGCAACATTTCCCCACATGTTTGAAATTCTTTCTGAATTATGTTTTCACCCTACTTTCCTAGTGGCATCATAGAACACATATGAAGTGACAGAAAAACTACTTTCTACAATCAAGGTATTATCCTCTTGAAAAAAAAAAAAAAGCAAAGCCAAAATCTTGAGGGACAAGATTTTCCTTAGTCATCAAATAAGTGGTTTAACTGCTAGCAGCAGAAGCATAGAACTCAGCCTTTGGCCAACAGAGCATCTTAAAGCCCTCAGAGCGTCGACCTTGCCAGAGGCTGTGACAGACCACAGTGTGCTTCCCCTGGCCTCACCTGGCCACTCCTCTCACAAACCCAGCTGTGTGGTTACACTGCTCAAGTTCTGGCACCTCAGGCACCGAGACCATACATATGAACATTTTCTTACAATCAGAAGGAAAGCATTAGCCCTAGCCCAGGCCTGCGTACTATAGGGTCCAGGTTTGATTCCAGCCAAGGGCACATGCCCGGGTTGTGGGCTCAATTCCCCAGCCAGTAAGGGGCGTGCAGGAGGCAGCCAATCAATGATTCTCTCTCATCATTTATGTTTCTATCTCTCTATTTCTCTCCCTTCCTCTCTGAAATCAATTTAAAAAAAATTTTTTTAAGGGAAAGCATTATTCATAGGCCAACTCATCAGTCCTGCTCCTTCCCCAAGATGCTCTGCGAATGCTCACTCAAGACCCCATTTACGCAGGAGAGGCTCCAGAATCTGCAGGAGGCTCGATGGCCCCAAAGGGCCAGCTCTGTGAAGGTCACCTGCACTGTCCTGTCTCACACATCACAATGCTGGCAGCTACCTTGGCTTGCAAGGCGGCCTCCCCTCCAGACTCCCTCAATGGCACTGGTCATTAGGAAGAGAAATGACTGAGTTTGAGGCCAATGAAAACCCATGAAGTGAATAAACTCAGTTGCTCTCACCTGCAGAGACACAGAACACAAGTGGCATTTCCTGGAAGGCCTAGATTAAGACTAAAGGCAAGTGTGAGGGTGAATTTTAAGTGTCAACTTGGCTATTACACAGTAGCCATATATGATCAAACGTTATTCTATGCTCCTGGGAAGGTATTTTTCAGATGAAATGAACCTTTAAATCGGCAGACATTGGGTACTAGTAAAGCAGACTACCCTCCATAATTTGGGTGGGCCTCATTGAATCAGTTAAAGGCCTTCATAGAAAAAGACTGAGAAGAAGTTCTGCCAGCAGACAGCCTTAGGACTTACACTGCAACTCTCCCTTGAGTCTCCAGCCTGCCAGCCCACCCTCCATTTTGTGAACTCGTCGAAGTTCCACCATCACATGAGCCAATCCCTTAAAATAAATCTCTCTAGACAGAGAGATACACACAGAGAGAGAGATACGCACACCCTCTTTGTCCTGTTTCTCTGATGAACCCTGACTAACACAGCCCATCACAAGACCTGGACTCCAGAACAAAACATTCACGGCCTGTCAGCAAAACAAGCTGCAGGGACACTACTCTAATGATTACTTCAGGAGGAGAAAAAGCCTCTGCATGAAAATGTTTATTTCACAATGGCTGATAAGAAAAAGCTACGACAGACAAAGCTGCCACTAGGAAGATGCCAATACTCAACAATGGGGGAACCTTTAACAAACATGACATATTGATCTAACCGTGGTCGGCAAACTACGGCTCACGAGCCACATGCGGCTCTTTGGCCCCTTGAGTGTAGCTCTTCCTAAGCCTTAGGAGTACCCTAATTAAGTTAATAACAATGTACCTACCTATATAGTTTAAGTTTAAAAAATTTGGCTCTCAAAAGAAATTTCAATCGTTGTACTGTTGATATTTGGCTCTGTTGACTAGTGAGTTTGCCGAGCACTGATCTAACTGAACTCAACCAATCAACATTCAGAATTATATGGAAAATATTCGACAGTACAGTGTAAGCTATGGAGTACAGCGTAACCTAACCTTAACCCAGCTTTGCCCATTGCTCTGACAGATCTCAACTCTCTACGAATCCCATTTTTCATCCATCCTGTGAGGGTGGTATCCACTAACCTACGGATTAGGAGATTATATACATAGCTTATAACATCTGACATGTCACACCGATGGTCAATCAGATGATACTAATACAGGTACCCACGTGAATGAGGACCAGGGTAACAATCAAAGACAAAAGTAGGCATAGTCTCATGAGAAAGAAAAAAGAAAAACTATTAAAGCATGAAAGTGGAAAGTTTAGGGCTAAGACATACTGTACCTTTCCGTCATACCATGGGGTCTCACTATCTCTGTTTCACTCTTGTGGGCTGGTTTTGAAGTCAGAGTGATCAGGATAGCACTGACCACTGTAACGCCTACGTGAAAACTAATTTATTTGGCATGATGAGTAAAACCAAGCTTGGGAATATTATTACAATAGTAGGGTGCAGACAGCCCACACGGAATAGCTCAGTACTTTGATGACAACCCTACTAAGAAGATACTGTTTTTCTCCCAGGTCTCTGATGAGCCCTGAGACTCTGGGAGGTGAAGTAACTGGTCCAACCTCATCCAACCTAAGCCAAGGAGCTAGGACACAAGGACCCAGGTTGTCTTGATTCCAAAAGCCACGCTCTTAACTGTACGTGTTTGCTTTATGCCTTCATGTGTCAAGCCCCTTCCACAGGCATGAGACTACAGCAACTCCAGTGTTAAAGCAGCAAGTGCAGGCAAATCACTGATGCTCACACCCCTGCAGATAGACACAGACGTCACCAGCCCACGGCTATTTTCTAGAATAACCCTGCCTTTCTCCTGAGCTCCCTATGCTAGAAGCAAGTTAAAGTTGGGAGGAAAAGCTAGAAAACAAAAATGAAAGCTGGATATGTAAAGCAAAAGTTTCAAGGCATGAAAAAAAAAAGTTTCAAGGCATGCATCTTGATACTAATTTTGTAATAGGTACCTTCAAACATACTCCCTTCCCCTCTCTTAGTTCTCGAGAAGCTAATAATGCTCCTTCCTCCTAAATCAAGATCTGAAAAACGAAAGATGCCCTAAACAAATATAAACCTTGCACCCTTCTTTCACCCAATTCTGCAGGAAGGGAAAGCAGTTAACGTACCACCCTTCGTTAAAACCTAGAGTGGAACTTACTTCTCAGGCGACTCTGAGTGGCCCGTGCGCTTCCTTCCCGACGTGTACACGTCATCCTCATTTTCATCCACATCTTCATCGTCGATGCTTTTCACATCAAGCTTCTGGTACCCAAACTCCCCATTCAAAGACAGAGAATCAATTTTCCATGAGTTGCTGCTCTGGCTTCCAATGGAATTAGGTCCAAAGGGGCTTTCAAAGGCCATGATATTGACAGAGGAGCGGTCAGAGTTCTCCTCCGAGCTCTCCCCGGTCCCAGGTATCTTTTTAAAAACATCACCAGAGGTCTGCTCATCTTCTTCATCATCAAATGAGATAATATTGGTCACCTTCTTTTTCTTCTTCCGTTCCTTTTTACATTTGGCATCTAGTAAAATATAAGATATGCTATGATAAAAGAAAAAGTAGGCAAGATAAAGGAGTGATCAAGCCATCTTGATCATCTAGATCATGAAAAATCCTCTACTACTCCACTGCTATTCAGACTTTCTTAAATCCTTGAAAAACATCTGTTAGAAGACTGAGCAAAATATATGTGTCTCCTCAGGCAAGGGAAACAAAAGAAAAAATAAACAAATGAGACTAAGCCAAAACTAAAAAGTGTTTGCACAGTGAAGGAAACAATCAACAAAATGAAAAGACAACCTACTGAATGGAGGAAGATATTCCCCAATGATATATCTGGTAAGGGGCTAATATCCAAAATATATAAGGAATTCATACAACTTAACATCAAAAACCAAATGATCAAATTAAAAAATGGACAGAGGACCTGAACAGAGATTTCTCCAAAGAGGACATACAGATGGCCAAGACATATGAAAAGATGCTCAACACCACTAACCATCAGGGGATTGCAAATTAAAACTATAATGAGATATCACCTCATACCTATTAGAATGGCTATGACCAATAAAACAACAAACAAAAAGTGCTGGCAAGTGGAGAAAAGGATTCCTCTTACACTGTTAGAGGGATAGTAAAAAGGTGCTGCAACTATAGAAAAGTTTGGAAATTCCTCAAAAATTTAAAAATATAACTACCATATCACCCAGCAATTCCACTTCTGGGTATTTATCTGAAGGAACCTAAAATACAAATTTGAAAAGATATATGCATCCCTATGTTCATTGCAGCATCATTCACAATAGCCAAGACATGGAAGCAACTTAAGTGTCCATTGACAGACAAATGGAAAAAGATGATGTGGTACATATATACATTGAAATTATTACTCAGCCATGAAAAATGAATGAAATATGACCATATGCAACAACATGAATGGACCTAGAGGATTTTATGCTAAGTGAAATAAATCAGATAGATAAAGACAAATACCGTATGGTTTCACTCATATGTGAAATCTAAGAAACGAATAATAAACAAACAAAACAGAAACGGGCTCACAGATACAGAGAAAAAATTGATAGTTGTCAGCCGTGAAAAAGGTGAGGAGATGTGTGAAAATGATGAAAGGGATTAAGAAGTGCAAAATGCTAGTTATAAAAATAGTCACAGGGATATAAAGTACACCACAAGGAAAACATTCAATAATATTGTAGTAACTATGTATGGTGGCAGATAGGTACTAGACTTACCTGGGGAGTGGGGGATCACTTTATGGTATAGAAATGTCTAAACACTATGTATACATATGACACTGGTATAATATTATATGTCAACTGTTATTGAAAAATAAATTTTAAAAAATAATTTTAAAAATATGCCACGGAGCAAATGTTAAAATTGTTCCTCTAAGCAGTTCTTCTAAGCACTTTGATCCAAAGGATATTATCATTATTGAAATGATTTTCACTGTTTCACTTTGGAAAATACTGGTGGGTGAAACCAAGAAAACCAGTTTGGGGCAGTCGTCAACTGTTGAATGACCACAAATTCCTCCCATCCCTGCAAAATATCCCTTCACAATGGGACTCTGCCACACCTTCCATTGCGGGTGTATCTATTTCTCCACCTTCTTGAATCTGGAATGGCTAGTGTTCTGCCTTTACCAATGGAATATGGCAGAAATAACGGTGTGTGAGTTCTACAGGGTCTTACACCCTCTTGAAATCCTGCCCTCAAACTACTATGGAAGAAAACTGATTTAGCTTATTGAAGGATGAGAGGCCCTGTATAAGAAAACTGAGATGCCCCAGCCAATAGTTAGCACCAACTCCAGGCACAGGGTGGGCATCTGGGATCTTCCAGCTCAGCTGCCAGCCAAATGCAGCTCCATGAGTGAGCCCAGGTGACACCAGCAGAAAAACCATCCCGCCAAGCCACACGCAGAATCATAAAAAAATAATAAATCATGGTTGTTTTAAGCCACTACATTTTTTAAACTGTTTGTTACAAAAGGCCAATGGAAACAGAAAATAAGACTGCCTTGGTGACCAGTACTTAGATGAGCCAGTTTACACATCTTAATCATCACCCTGAACCTATTCCCAAAACTCCATTCCATCTAAACCAATGTGTGACATGCTTCACCCGGGCATTACAACTCTTGAGACAATGTCAAAAGCAGGGAGTCCACAATGAATGGAAAAAACACTACTTTGGGTATACAAATTCCATTGTCTCTGTTACACAAAGCCCTCATAGTCCTGTTTCTATCTCATTCCCCTGGGGCCTCTCCTTGGGAAGGAGAGGGCAAACAGATAAAGCCAGTGTGTAGCAAAGACACCATAAGATTCTGAGTTTTCAAAATCATTAATAACCCCAAAGGGATGACCATCATTACTGCCTTGTTTAAGGCATTTGAGAATACCAAGACTAAGTACTAAACCCCAAATTTACAATTTTTCTTTATCAGAATTCTGGATGTCCCAGAAGGCTCAGGGCGGTTATAAACATGTCACAAAATTAATCTTAATTAATTAATTAATCCCTTTCCCTGGCCTCCACTTAAATGTCTTCCCCCGCCAAAAAAGGCAAGCCCAATAGTATGCACTCTCCATAGCACCCTATGCTTGGCTTCCATCCCATTTATCAGGATAATTAATTATATATATAATTTGTCATTAAATGTCTACCCACCCATCCCAAAGACTGACAGCTGAATGCCGGTAATCTGTCTTACTTGGCTCATAGCCTAGCACACAGAATGCATTAAATGAACAAATGAATGAATGGACAAAGGAATGAATAAATGAAGATCAACCTCATCTGGCTTCCCGTGGCCCTCACACCCTTGCTTTCAGTTTGTTCTGGCTGACCTTTTGCTCTTTTACCCTATCATCTTCCCATCTAGGTGAGGCTCTTTCTCAGTAAGCGTAAAAAAAATAAAAACAAATGTGAGCTGAGAATGCAAGTGCGTCAGATTCAGGCCCCTTGGCACTTTCAGGTGACGAGGTGTGTCCATCTGGGCCACGGCCTGTCATCCTTTGCCTGGCCCCTCTGCTCTACCTCACACGCTCTCCCTCACCTGCACTGACGTGCTTGGACATGACGGGCAGGGGGTCGGTCTCCTGCTCAGGTTTGATGAGGATGGAGACAGCAGAGGACGCCGTGATCTCCCGGAAAAGGCTGCTCACTCCTTGCGTGGACTCCTTCAGCAAGGAAGTCACATTCTGCGTTGACTCCTTTAAGAGGTCCGAGACAGTAGGAGCAAACTTGCTCTGCCCATTTAAATCCTTGTTGTCAATGTTGATCGCGAAGAGGATGGAGTTCAGACCTTCCGCACAAAAAGAAAAGCATGGAGTGTGTGTTGTTGGACAGTCACGCCTCTAACATGACAAACAAGCTGCAGACAGTACAGTACACAGGAGGGCACACACTGATCTTAGACGCTGATTGAAACCTCCCAAAACTGGGGTCAGTAGACAGCAGCTATCACAGCAGCTGAGTCACTCCAAATTCTCTTCCTCTCTGTCAGGAGGGAAGGTAAGCCATAGGTTCTGAGGTCAGACTGCCTGGATTGAATCCCAGCACTGCCATGTATGAGCTACGAGACCTTGGTCAAGCCATTTATAACCTCTCTGAGCTTTAGTTCCCTTATCTGTAAAATGGGGGCACAATATCTCTTTCACAGGTTAACTATAAAGACCATCACCTACCAAAAACACTCAGCTCAGTAAGCAACCACAAAAGGTGCACCAATGTCATTAGTAGCATTGCTTATGCAAAAATTTGCACTGGTATCCTATGACCCACAGGAAATCACGGTCAAACCCTGACTCTTCCTCATCAATGGCCTAGGCCCGTGGTCGGCAAACTGCGGTTCACAAGCCACATGCGGCTCTTTGGCCCCTTGAGTGTGGCTCTTCCTAAGCCTTAGGAGTACCCTACATAAGTTAATAACAACATACCTACCTATATAGTTTAAGTTTAAAAAATTTGGCTCTCAAATGAAATTTCAATCACTGTACTGTTGATATTTGGCTCTGTTGACTAATGAGTTTGCCGACCACTGGCCTAGGCTAACATAACTCTCAATATGTGGGCCTTGGTGCAAACTTTCAGGAAAGAAAAAGAAAAAGGAGGTAACAAAGGAATTAGAAGAAAGAAGCAAGTTGCCCACTTCTGTTAGGTGGTTTTACCCTTTGAGTTCAAGTCAATTGATAAACAATTTAATAATTCACAAATAAACATCATCCCAGGATTGCATGTTGACAAATGGTGCACATGACTATCACATCTGATTTTCTCACAGCCCCATATGGCGATGGCCGTGCCGTCCAGACCCCCACCTTGCAGAGGAGGAAAGTAACGGTAACAGCATCTGCCCCAGGTCTCCAGCTGGTAAGGGGTCGGACCAGGCTTCAAAGGCAGGTCTCCTGTCTCCAATCCCCAGGTCTTTATATTACACTTGCAAAGCCACAGCAAAAAACCCTCAACCCCATGCTCTCCCTGCCAGGGTATCAAATTCAATGCCATTTGAGGAAGGGCAGTGGCAAGTGCCTCAAGTTGCTGAGGAATAAGGAAAATCCCTCCTCTGCTTCACAGGACCCATCGCCCGCCTTGCCCGGGCTTACCAGCTGCCATGGTAGGAAGCATGCTAGACCTTTCTTCGTCCATCACAAAAGACCAGTCTTCATAAAAAGTGCTGCAAATTGAAAGAGAAAGGGGAAAGGCTCTAAATTGTGGCTCTCTGTGCCCATTAGCCAGACAGTTCCATTATCAGGCTTCCGGGAAAAGCCATGTCTGGTCATGGCAGAGTGAATACAGGAGTCTCTGCTGGGATGAAGCTTCTGGTTATAAACTAAGGACTGACTGCACAGACCCCTACGACTTCCTCATTGGTCCCCCGAGATCGTTAGAGTCCCCTGAGCTTGACAGCACTGAAATAGGCATGAAATGTAAATGTGGTGTTTATGAAGCAGCAGACGGGGACAAACAGAGGGGTGACTTCCACTCAAGCAAGGTCTCCAAAAGACAGACAGGAAGTCCAAGCGGGGCTAACACAAGAAGAGAGCATTTCAGAAAGAAACTATAAAGTCCACGGTCCATCAACCACAGCATTTGTATGTAATATCTGCTTGGGCTATAGACCCAAAAGCCCAAGTTAGGCTGGGAAGCTCAAAAGGCCCCACAAATCTAAGTGGGAGAAGGGACCAGAGAGGTCTATAGAGTCTGTCCAAGGTCATTCAGCAATAAATGCAGCTCAAAAGCAGGTCTCCCCCTTCCAGTTCCCAGCTCTTTATCCAGCCCCCTGCTAAGCAGTAACAAGCAAATACCCTCAAACCTCTGACTTCCCCGCCAGGTCAGAGAACTCTAAATGAGTGGAGTCAGTTAAATTTCACTAAAGCACAGTCCGTGGTGAGTGAGCTGTACTTCGGCAGGAGGCTGGACACAGGTGACTGAATACAACTAACAGAAAGAGAGAGGACACGCGTGCTCAGTACATGGACCGAGCAGAACGGCAGGGGAAGCACAAACCACGCGTCCAAACTGGCGCGGCAACAGTACCTCTGATTCCCCAAATTTTGATCCTTTAAAAATCTGAGTCCATTTTCATGTACGTAAATGAATTTGGTTTTCCCACATCAAAGTAGATTAAAGTGACTAGTGATTTAGGTAAATTCAACTATGATTCTTAACAGCTGGATTCACTTCAACTGCTCATTGTTAATTCAACTTTGATGTGGAGTATACAACTCTGAGCCACTTGCAAATGATGTGGTGGGAAGAGCTTGATTAGAATTCATTTTTAGGAACATGAGTATGTTCTCCTTAATTAATGCTAGTTAACGCTCAGGAGGTACACACAGACAGTCAACTCAGATCCCAGGCAGCACACAGATGCAGGCAGCACCAGGTGTCCTGGCCCCACCCCTCCCATTTCAGACCCACAGAGTCTGAGCATACAACTGGACAAAGCACCCCAGTCAGCATCAATGTGAGAACTTCAAAGGTATCTGTGAGAGCCCTAGCACACGATCCCAGAATGCCTAATAAATTACCAGAAGAGAGGTGACCCTAGGGGCCGAAGAAACAGAGGAGAGACTTGAGACATGGAACGTATCACGGTACTAATGAAATGCCAACTTATTGAGCTAAATGGAACGTCACTAATGAGGATGTGGGCACTGCTGATGCAGAAGTTACTCAAGGAATCAGGGCAGGATTGATCACTGTCCCTTTGTATCATCAGGTGACAAAAAACTACAAGTCTGGTCCACCATTCTCAGAGGGAAAACAACAGCCAAAGTCAGAGAGAGAGACTGGGAGAGAGAGAAACATCACAGACATCATGAGCACAGGAAAAATGACAGGAATATCAATGTTTTTGGAGAAAATGTGGCTGACTGTGCTACCATGGAGCATATTCAGTATCCTCTCCCCATCGCTGTGGCATAACCACATCTCCCCACCCTGCCGAGCTTGCCTGGCCAGTGCATGTGAGGAGGTGAAGCATCACTTTGGGCAGAAGCTTTACGAGCCAGTGCTTAGTGCAACCACATCTTTATAGAGATGGAGCCTCCATCAGCCTGGGTCCCTGCGATGAGAATCCCTGTTCACCCACAAGAGACATGAAGCAGAGGGAAGAAATAAACTCGGCTGTCTCAAGCCACTGTGGTCTTCATCATGTTTGTTACGGCAGCATAACCTGGCTAGTGCTACCTGACAGAGTGAACTTTATGATCAAGAAAAAAAGAAAATACAATAAAATGGGGGGGGGGGTGTTTTTTAATAACCAATGACTTCTCTTCCCAGCTTAAAACTTCCATATTTTTTTCAGTCAGTTTGGTATTGATTAACAAAAAAGAAAAACAGAAACAGTTGTAAAGACAAAATGTGAAACTGGACAGGAAACACCCAATATCTAAAGAGAAAGAAATTGCCCTAACCGGTTTGGCTCAGTGGATAGAGCATCAGCCTGTGGACTGAAAGGTCTCAAGTTAGATTCCGGTCAAGGGCATGTACCTTGGTTGCGGGCACATCCCTAGTGAGAGGTGTGCAGGAGGCAGCTGATCGATGTTTCTCTCTCCTCAATGTTTCAAACTCTCTATCCCTCTCCCTTCCTCTCTGTAAAAAATCAATAAAATATATTTTTAAAAAAATAAAGAGAAAGAAATTCTGAACTGGAAAAGAGCCCGAACTCAAATTCCATGAAGTGAGGGGCAGGCTGTAATCTGTGACCATAGATCACACTCCACACCCCAGCCTTATTAATAATGAGCATGTAAGTGCTTGCTCTATGCAGGTGCCGTGCTGAGCCCTTTACAGGCCTTCTCTCATGTAACAAATGGGACTGACTGTGAGCGGCGGGGGGGGGGGGGGACCCTAGGGTGTAAATCCAGGCTTTTGACTCCAGGTTCCGTGGTTTTAACCACTCGCCTACATGCCCTCCCAGAACCCCACCAGTGGGTACCTGAGCCTGCTGCGGTCGGCCAGGAGCATGTGCAGGTAGCGCTCCAGCGAGTGTTCGTTGAGGGCGCAACGCAGCCAGGCCCGGCCGCGGCCCACGTCCGAGGCGATGTGGCGCAGGGAGTAGAAGCGCTGCAGCTCGTGCTTGCTGAGGACCTCCTTCACGTAGAACCAGAACACGGGCTCTGGGGAGACAGCGGGACAGGCGCTGTGGCACTTGGCCTGGGATGTGCATCGCCTTTAGTAACGTTCCCTGAGCATCTTTGAAGATTGTAAAAGAACTACTTCCTTAGCACAGAAAAGGAAGATACCAAAGAGTATACAGAAAATAAAAACGACCTCAAGTCCACCATCCGGAGATGGCCACTGTTAACATCTTCAAGTATTTCCTTCCACTCTTTTTTCTGTACTTTTCTTTTTTTATATACAAAATCAACATCTGTGACAGGATGAATTATAACCCCCAAAGATAGTCATGTCTTAATCCCTGGAACCTGTGAGTGTTAGTTTATATGGCAAAAGGGACTTTGCGATAGCCACGGAATGCTGGAAGCCAGACGATTCTACCCTGGGGCCTCCAGAAGGAACCAGCCCGATGTCATCTTCACTTTAATCCAGTGAAATAGGCTTTGAACTAAGCCCTTTGTAAGTGTAAGAACATTAATTTGTGTTGTTTTCAGCCATGAGCTTTGTGGTAATTTGTTATAGTAAGTAACTAATATACCATCGTATTGTGTGTATTGTATATGGGTGCATATGTATACATGCACGTATATACAAATACACACACACACACACACACACACACACATAATTTTATACCCTCATTTGTTTTTTCTCGTCTTTATCATGAACATTTTCCTGTAACATTTAAAGATCTTTGGCAATATGATTTTTGATGGCTTCCCTGTTGTTTATTTCTCTACAGCGGGGAACATGTTATGTTACCAATTTTCCCTATATACTGCTTTGAACATCCTTGTACATAACTAGTTGTCCTCATTTCCAATTCCTTAGGAGAGAGTTCCATAGGTCTGAGAAAGGAACAGATGTAAGGCTTTAAGGGAAAGCTAAGAAAGTTTGTTTTTATCCATAAAATAGTAATTGTACCTCCTCACATCCCCCCTTTTTTTATCCACACCCACACAGATATTTTTCTAGTTGTAATTCTAGTGTATACCTAATTTTGTAATCAATTTTCTTTACTTCACATCAACACTTTTACCTGCTGCCAATAACAGTAACAGCAGCAACAGCCAATACTATTTATTAAGCATTAAGTCCACCAGCCATTGTAGTAAACATTTTATATCTGAACTCAGTCCTCATAACCACCAAGGTCATGTCCATGTCAAAGGCAAGGTCCAAGGCCTGGACAAGTGAAGGAACCCACACAGCAATTCACAGTAAGCAATACAGCAGAAGGGACTGAGAGCTGTCGAACGACAAACCACAAAATCACCCTGCCTTGCCAAGTGAGGAGGGCGTCTACATTCTTTAAAATGATCGTGTTCACAAATGCTCAATATACTAAGAGAGAAAATACTGAGTCTGCGACCAGACAAGGATTCTAATCCAGGAGCCTAACAGGTCCCGAGACCCCTCTGAGAATGTGGCAAGGTCTGTGAACCTTCCCTCCAGAAGGATGCGCATACACACATCACACACTGGGCGTTGGGTTAGTACGTTCGCTCTAATATTTCAGCTCAGCCAGGAGCCATGGACTGGGCGAGACTATGGCCTAGCAGGCAGAGACTGGAAGGACTCATCTCCAACAAACTTCCAGACTAGTGGACAGAACAACAGGTGAAAGATTGTTCAGTAGAATGACCCTGAGCAGGTCACTTAAACATGATAAGGTTTGGATTCCTCTCCCTTAACAAAAGGCCCAAAGTGCAGAACATCCGGGTTCCTGGGGTAACTGGAGAAAAGGGAGGTAAAGCACTGAGCACAATGCACAGACCATGATGACTAAACATCGTTTACTTAATAATTACCTTCTTATATGAGAGCATTTGTGTTGTTTCCTCTTTCCCTTTTTCTATTAACAGTATCTAAATGTGTATGTACAGGGAGTGTGCATACATACTTCTGGATGGATCATGCCAACCTCTGGGATCATTTACAATAAACGTCCCAAGAATGACTAGAAAAGCCACCAACAGGGGAGTTCGCTCAGGACCATCTTCTGTCTCGATGCCTAAATGCGACACTAATCCCTTTCCCAAACCCAAACTGCACGAGTGTGCTAACAGCCTTCTTTCCACTCAAAGCCTCTCTCAGAAACCACAGCAGGGGGAGTTTGGTGAGAGCAGTACTCTGAGTGGGCCCATCAGCACACCTGTTTTGAAACATACCAGACAACCATACGGATATCCATCACCTTTAGCATCAAGTGACTTACCCGCCATCTCTCTTGAAAACTGCAGTCACCTCCCTCTGACCTTGAATGCACATGAAACACTTCAAGGTGTGTTTTCACCTCTCAATTTCCCAAATTGCTTACCGCTACAGAAGGCTTCTAAAGCTTGCCAGAGCGATGCTGATGATAAGAATTATCTCAGCAGGGCTCCGCTTCCACTGCCAGAATTAATGTGATCTATTTAAAGTGCAGCTCACCTGCCACTTAACGCTCGCAGTGTCTGTAATTTAATTTGGAAATATGCACCCGATCTCTTGCTGCTTTGAAACAAGGGGCTAATTCTAAAAGTGGGTGAGAGCTTCTGGCTCTCTCAACTTCTGAAAGCCACCTGCCAACCAGAACAAAGAGCCAGGAAGGGATGACTGAGGCTAGCCACCTGGGGCCACTCGTTAACAGAGGATAACTAATAGCTCAGGGCCTTTGGCAAAGTTTCTAACAGGCCTCAGTTTTAATCAATGCCAAAAATTCAAGAATTCATGCTTTGGAGTCCAAAGAGGACCAAAACCTTGCCTCAGATTCTATGTAAGATTGTGTGACCTTGGGCAACTTATTTTGTTCTTCATCTTCCTCTTCTATAAAGTGAGCTTTGCTCTGAGGGAAAAGAATAAGAGAATAAAACATACATGAAAAGCACGTAGTGTCAAGGCAGACAAACAATATCCCTTTCTTCTGAAAGCAGCACCCCTCTTTCCTAAGGGACTGTGTTCTGTCTGAAGGTGCCTTCTGGCTACACACCTTCCCTTCCTTACCTAGGTGGGCAGGTAACACAGGCTGGGCAATGGCCTGGCCACAGCCGGCCCTAAGCCTTGACATGCCTCACTAGCCCACCCTCATCCGGACCTTGTTTGATATTTTGCACATGTGGATTTTTATTGTATTAATCTTGATTTTTTTAATATTGCAAGATAGGTATTCTTTATCTGGTTTGCTGTTAGCGAGGTAGCTAGTAAGAAAGGGAACAAATGGACTCAGACGTTAAACCTGATTCACTGGGAAGCCACAGCACTCCCAGGCCCCCAGGGAAGGCGGCACCCTCCACCAAGGGGACCTAATTCCAGAGCAGGCAGGAAGAATCTCCCTGGAACAACCCAGGGAGTTTGAGGGAGGAGTGGGAAAAATTCCTTTACTAGACACATGGGCAGTAGAAACCGATGACAAAGCAGAACTTTGAGGAAGGCGCAGTGGTAGCCAAAATGGTGACATAAAGGCATCTAGACTGGAAACTCTGAGAAAAGGACCAACCTGGATGGGGAGGACCCAGCATGAGCCCAAGAAGGACTGGGAAAGAGATTGGTTAGTCTGAAAGAAAGCCTGCTCTCTCCCAAGCCTGAGATCATTCTTGGTAGCATGTGTTCACCCATTCGTTGGCAGGCGTAGCAGCCGTGGGGCTCTGACAGCAGGCCTGAGCGCGGCAGGAGCCCTGGGTGATAACATTACAGTTTGGGTCCTGATCTTCCTGGTCAGCACTGATGCTCACCAGGCCCAGGACTTACTCCACAGTGAGACGAGCTAGGCCACCCGGCTGTGGATGAGACACCTGGCACCTGGGGAATAGTCCTTTGTTTTCACTCCAATCAATCTTACCTCTACATCTCATTCTCCTACTCGTGGGTCCCTCAAATGCTTTTTTCGTGGCGTGGAAGAACCCTATTTCCACTGACAACACTCACGTAAAAGTTGTGGCTAAAGTGAGTGCCTGACTGGCTTCATCCCAGTCCCAATGAAACCGGACACCCAAGGGGTCTGGGCTGCCTGTCACTACTTAAGCCAATTAAGCAGAGACAAGGCTGATTCATATATGACCATTTATTCCAATAATGCCGGCGGTATGGGAGAGAGCAGGTCATCCACAAAAATTTGCTCTGCAGGCTCCCCCCCTCACCTCCCCCCCCATAAACCAGCTGCTTATATCAGGTAGGACAAAGCTTACAATGGGGAAGCAGGGATTACAGGCATGATGAAGTAGGCTATGCAGACTGTGTTGGGACTCAATTGTGTGGGCAACAAGGTTGTTCATCTTTCCATGATAACAGGCAGTTCTTGAATGAGAATGGACAGCATTCCAAGGTTATCTCCCAGGTCCAAGGTTGACTCCCGGGTCCCAAGGGCATACAGTCCCCAGCCAGATTAGAATGTCCTTTCTTTAACCAGAACAAAGCAATCACAGTTAAAGCATGATTAATATTTCCCATAACCACAGCTAGTCCCCTATATTCTATTTTTGCCCCTAAAATCAGCCCTGGACACAGCATCTGCCCCACAACCAAGGGTCCTCCCTACAACTTCTACCTGAACCAGAAGTGAGGCCTTATCTCCTTCCAAAACCGAAGTCAGCAAACAATGACCCAAAGGCCAAATTCAGCCCACCACCTATTTATGTAAGTAAAGTTTTACTGGAAAACAGCCACCCATTTGTTAATATATTATCTGTGGCTGCTTTCCTGCTACAACGGCAGAGCTAAGGACTGTGAGAGACCTACGGTCTGAAATACTATCTCATCCCTTAAGGAAGAAGTCTGCCAACCACTCTTCTAGAAGTAGGAGCTCTGATAATCTTGTAAACCTGGAGCTACCTGGGACCATTTTCCCCCTATCAGGTAGAGCAAGCCCACCTAGGAAAGATGCCAACCCATAGAACAGTGGGCTCAGAGAGACAGAGAGAAAGATGTGGGGATGCTGAGCCCTAACCAGCTCAAGCCCTAAATTTCTCAGTTACTTGAATTAATAAGTGCCCTTTTTTTCTTTGTCTATGCGGCTTGCTGT